TCCTAATAGCATAGAGGCAGGGGATATTTATACTAGGAACAACCCTTCTAGTTGGGTGTGAAAACGAAATGGAGTTTCTGAAGATAGGCTATGTGAAAGGTCACGACAAGATGGATTCCCAAAGTGGTCTTGCCTGACTATTGGCCTCCAGAGCAGTGTCCACAAATCTTGCCATAATTCCTTATTGGGAAGTCCAAATGACGAACCATTTGTTGGATATGAAAGTAGACTCGAAGAGCTTTCTAGCTATGTGCAGCATGCACCATGAAACTTTGTAGATTGGTACAGTTTTGCATTGGAAGTTGTACCAAATTCTGCTCATGGTATACTATTGACCTTCTGCGTCACTTTTTCCTGGGTCCGCTCATCCGTCCGTGCTACTTTTCATCAGCGTTACTTTTTCCTGGTCCGGTCGTCAGTCCGTGTTACTTTTCTGATATACCTATTTTGTAGTACCGTGTCTTGATCCTTCGGCCATGTGCCTTCCACGTCTTCATGTGTAAACCTAAGCATCATCAAGATATGACATTTAGGTAGTATAACATTCTCATAAGTGTTAAAATTACACTCAGTTAGGAATGAATTCACCTGCTCTTGTAGTTTCTTGGCATGGCTTCTTGTAAGTGGCCCTTGATTTGTATCCTTTGGACTTGAGCTAGCATGCACGGCTGGGATGTCCTCATCATCCTCCCCCTCTTGAAAAGGAGTCATCCTCGACTCTTCCAATCCAAAGAATGGAGATAGATCGACGACATTGAAACTTGTACTAATACCATAAGTACTTGGAAGATCAATTTCATATGCGTTATCATTAATCTTGCGAAGCATTTTGAATGGACCTTTGGCTCAGGGCTGCAACTTGCTCTTGCATTGTTCAGGAAAGCGATCCTTGCGCAAATGCACCCAAACCAAGTCTCCTGGTTCAAATAACATCTTCCTCATACATCTTGGTCATCTTTTCAATGTTTTCTCTAGCTCGATCATGAAGCTTCTTGACAAATTCAGCTCGTTTGGCTGCATCAAAGTTCATAAGTTCCTGCATAGGCAAAGGCAAAAGATCAATGGGAGCAGTAGGTTTGAAACAATATACAATTTCGAATGGACAAAATTTGGTGGTCGAGGGTACCGCCCTGTTGTATGCAAATTCCACATGTGCAAACTTTCTTCCCACAACTTCATATTCTTCTTTAGGACAGCTCACAGCAATGTTGACAGTGTGCGGTTCACAACTTCAGTTTGCCCATCAGTTTGAGGATGACACATTATGGAGAATAGCAGCCTGGTTCCAAGTTGGGTGTGAAAACGAAATGGAGTTTCTGAAGATAGGCTAGGTGAAAGGTCACCACGAGATGGATTCCTAAAGTGGTCTCGCCTGACTGTTGGCCTCCAGAGCACTGTCCACAAATCTGGCCATAACTCCTTATTGGGAACTCCAAATGACGAACCATTTGTTGGATGTGAATGTAGACTCAAAGATTTTTCCAGCCATGTGCAGCATGCACCACGAAACTTTGTAGATTGGTACAGTTTTGCATGGGAAGTTGTACCAAATTCTGCTCATGGTAGACTATTGACCTTCTGCGTCACTTTTTCATAGGTCCGGTCATCCGTTCGTGCTACTTTTCATCAGCGTTACTTTTTCCTGGTCCGATCGTCAGTCTGTGTTACTTTTCCGATGGAGCTATTTTGTAGTACCGTGTCTTGATCCTTCTGCCATGTGCCTTCCACGTCTTCATGTGTAAACCTAAGCATCATCAGGATAGGACATTTAGGTAGTGTAACATTCTCATAAGTATTAAAATTACACTGAGTTAGGAATGAATTCACTTGCTCTTGTAGTTTATTGGCACAACTTCTTGTAAGTGGCCCTTGATTTGTATCCTTTGGACTTGAGCTAGTGCAAGGCTGGGATGTCCTCATCAATAAGAAACCCACCAGGATGCACTTCAACTGTGAACTCATCATCAACATTGCCTACATTGTGCAACCAATCATCAGAAAACCCCAAATCAGCAGCTTAAAATCAAACAAACCAAGAAACCTGAGTTAGCCACTACAACACATTCTCAAACAAATGGACATATACACCTAGATTGGTTCATCCTACGGCAATCTAAATCAAAGATTACGACTTCCATACACTTACTGTATTCTAGAGGCGGCTCCCCTTTCTGGCGCAACCTAGCCACCATCATCGAGATTTAACGCGATCAGAACTGGACCCTGAGGTCCAGTGCCGCCCCGCACCTATCTTCCCTGCTACTAGCTTCTGCGTCGCCGTCGATCCTCAGAGGCCATGGGCCACAGACTCCTTCCTCCGCTCGCTTCCTTCTCTCTCAGATGGCTCGTTCGAGATATTGGGCGTGGAGGGGAATGAGAGGGAGTGACACAGCCAGGGGGTGAAGTGTGAAAAATACCCCCACTCATTGCGGGCAAGGTGCATGGGCAGCCACCGTGGATAGCCACATAGGATCCTAACCTGCTTCCCGACCAGTATGGACCCACGGTGGACTAAATAGAAAGATTAGGGACCTAAAACTGCACTTTGGAAGGTAATGGACCTAGATGACACAAAGGCAAAAGATAATGGACCTGTGGTGCATTTTGCTCTAATATAAATATATAATATAATGCTAGAAAATCATCGGATTACTAATTCTCATGAAATCATAAATAATTTGACAAATATAGATAAAAGCATCATCAATCATCTAAGGTTTGCATTTAGGAGTGCAAATTGATGACCCTATCACCATAAGGATATCCATTTCTCCTCCTTACTTTTACCAATAAAATTTTCTCAACTAAAGATGCATGATTGACACTCATAGTGATTGGGATCATTGGATTCTTCACTCTATTCTCTGTTTTCTTGACACGTCCTCTTTCGCCTCCTTCTATGTGCAAAACCTAATCCTAGTTGTCATCACATGTTCAGACATCCACATAAGTATAAACCGTAGCTCATCGCCACCGTGATCCATTAGTGCTAAGCTTTATGGTTTAGGGTTAATGGGATGCTCCTTTTCCCAATGGCTTTAAGGGGTTATGAGAGCGAAAGGCTGGTAGGCAAGATGACTAAGCAAGTGTAGCGATAGACCGACAGTGAATGGCTTATTAACCGTCATAGGACGACGTAGACGAGTGTACGTGTGCACACATGTGGCTATGGTGTCAGTGGGTGGGTTGGGGGAAAGGGTTGAGGTAGGCAGAGCGAGCAGAGGATATATAATCGGTATATGAGAGGATGAAAACATGTTATGTTGTCTGATCACACAAGAAGAGGATGATGTTTGTGGTGGCTGAAAGTGGGCCTATTTGAATGCACGGATCGAGTTCTTCTATAATATAGGCGAGGGGCTCAACCTAAAATCCTAAATGCATGCTGGCTTACTAGGCTAGTAGGATAATCAATAAGATAACCATAACTGGATGGAATGAAGCCGCTTTAAACAATGACATTTTTTATCAGATCTAACCATTTAGACCACTGGAATCCTCCTATTTCCCTTGGGCCAAAAACCCTAGGGAAAGGCATAGATACCATAGGAAAGTTTTCCTAGGGTGATTCGTCAGAATTCCTTTGGTGGTTAATCTAAAACAAATGAGTTCTCATGGTAGCGGGGAATAGGACCACTAGATCGCATCAAGGCTGAACTTCACTTGCTTTTTACAACTACTTCAAGTGATGGAAGCAACACCAATGCGCGCGCATGTAGGTACCTCTAGGAGTTTTCAAGCAAGGATGTTACAACATGGAAAATTGGGACTGATTGATAGTGCAATTTGACAAATGCCATCAAAAATCTTTTCTACATCTCTAGGGAGACGTAGTTGCATAAATGTGAAGTCCAAAATAAGTGTGTCGTTCTCTTAATACGATGGCAATGCACTTTCTTTATTTGTCACGGGGGCGCGGACGTCGAGCTGACGTGATTACCGAGCGACGCTGCGCGGGGCCAGGGACCTCGAGCTGACGCACCTACAACTATGACCTGGCCTGATGCTCAGCGATGGGCAGGTGCTGCCGAATACGAGGCAGAGGGTTTTGTCGCACGGGTGAGGCCATGAGGGGTATGAATTTCCAAACGGTCTGGGCAAAATGGTCTGGCACGGGCCCGATACGAAAAAGCACGGCCCTAGCCTGGTATGGCCCGGCCTCGCCCATGCCTGTGCCTAGCCTGGCCTGTAGCCGTGCCCGTGCCTGGGCCAAAAGGTCGGCCTGTAGTGCCAGCCCAGGCATGGCCCATTCCAACGGGCGGCACGGGGCAGGCATGACTCGTAGCCATCGGATCACGAAGGCAGGGCGTGAACCGTTGGATTGCTGGGCGGCCAGGGGGTCCGGTATATAAGCCGCCCGATGCGGCCGCTCTCCCCACTCCCCTCACTCGTAACCCTAGCCTCTCGCCCTCTCCTCTCCGGCTCTCCCCGCTCACTCTGTCGCTCGCCCACTCCTCGCCGCACTCGTAACCCTAGCTCCTCGCCTGCTCACCGCTCTTCGCCGCACTTGTAACCTGGGCTCCTCGACGCCATCACCATGGAGTCTTCCGGTGGGTAAGGGGTCAGTTTCGGTGGCTGGTGGTTCCCTCTTCTCCCTTAGATCCGGTGGTTCCCGCCCTCAATCTCCATCTGTTCCCTTATTCTTCATCCCTGAACATTGATTGAGCCTCATTCTCGGCATCCTTGCCGCATCTTTGTCATCTGTCCGTCATCCACATCGCTGGCTATCGCCACCTCCGTTGCTCCGGTCTCCATTGAGGTACCGGGGGTGTGCAATCGGTCCGTCTCATCGTCGTCGTTTATGGGGCTCCGGCCGTAGAGGTAAGGGTAAACCCTAACCCTAACCCTAACCCAAACCCAAACCCTAATCCCCAACCTAACCCTGCTTTTATCTGTTGATTGTGGCAGCCATCGAGGAATCGGAGATGGCCCCAGGTGCCGGGCGACACGACAACGGGGAGTTTGACCACTCCTAGAACGATGAGCTGCGTATGTGCGGGATGGCTGGAGATGATGAGGACGATGATGTCCGTGAGGACGTTGCCGTGCTCTTCGGCTGTTCTGCTGTTGATCCCCTTCCCGTCGATGACTCCGACCCCCCAGTCGATGTGGCTAATGCCGATGGTGGCCAGAGAGAGGTTAGCCCTGTCGGTTCTAATCGCTCTTCCACGTCTGCTGTCTGGGAGGACTTTGAGAAGCACTACAAAACTAAGAAAGGTAGAAAGATCAGGTTTGTTGCCACTTGCCTTCATTGCCATAAGCGCTACTCTGCTTATTCTGCTCATGGCACTGGGCATCTTACTCGACATCTTGCTAAGTGTCCTAAGAAACTTGAGAAGACCCGGGGCATGACTCAGACTCATATTGCTTTTAATTTCGATGGTTACGTTTCGTGCGTTGGGAGTATGCAGTCTTTGAGGTAGCTCGTGTTGAACTTGTTCATATGCTTGCTAGATTGGACCTACCTCTTATGATTGGTGAAACTGAGGCATTTAAAGATTATATTAAAACTGCTCATAACCCTAATTTTTCACCTGTCTCTAAGCAAACCACTAGTAGAGATCTGTTTAAATACTGCAATGAGAAACGTGATAAACTGATGGTCTGTTTAAAGGATAATGCTGTTTCATCTGTTGCTATTACCTCTGATATATGGTCTGGAAAGGCTAAAGAAGATTATTTATCTGTTGTGGCTCATTTCATTAATGCTGATTGGCAATTATAGAAAAGGGTACTTGGTTTAAGGTTGATTGATGTGTCCCATAATGCTGAGAACATTGCTCAGCGTGTTGCATCTATCCTTGCTGAGTATGGTATACTTAACAAGGTTTTTTTTCTATAACTTTGGATAATGCATCTGCAAATAAAAATGCTATGGATAAACTGAAACCTATACTTAAAGAATATTTGGGTTCTGATCTATTTTTGCATCAACGATGTGCTTGTCATATTATTAACCTGATTGTGAAAGAAGCACTGGCTGCTGTGAATCCTCTCATTGAGGATTTTAGAACAGCAATCTCTTTTATGAACTCCTCTAATCAAAGAATTGCTGCATACAAGAGTTATTGCATTGCTAGTGGTGTTAGACCTAGGAAGTTTGGATTAGACATGGATGTTAGATGGAACTCTACCTATCTAATGCTTAAGCACTTGCTGCCTCACAAGAGTACTTTCAGTACTTTCATTGAGGCCAATTACCCTAGAGGTTCAGGTAGTGGTTTCCTTTTGACTGATGATCACTGGGCTATGGCAATAAAATCTTGAAATTTCTTGAACTGTTCTATGACTCAACTATTGATTTGTCTTGTGTTTACTATCCTACTTCTCCACTTATGATTCATCATCTTGTTAAGATTGCTATACACCTGCATAGGTATCAACATGATGAACATCTAAGATCTGTTATCCAACCTATGATTGACAAATACAATAAGTACTGGAAGAACATACCTGATCTTTATTCTATTGCATTCATATTGGATCTAAGAGCTAAAATTAAGGGATTTACCAAAGTGCTTAGGAAGTTACATTCTCTTTTTAATATTGACTACACTAATAAGTTGCTAGACACCAGAGCTCTTCTGTTTAAAATGTATAACAGGTATGATGTAATGTATGGCTTTAATAGGCTGAAAAGGGTTGTTCCTCCATCCCTGTATAGTAAGAAAAGAACAGCTTAGGCTGAAATTTATGATGATGAGGAGTTGCATGTTGGAGCTGGCTGTTCTTCCCTCCCTTCTAGTCTTGATCATTCTAGGAGTGTTTCTGTCACTTCCTTGCTGCAGGCAGTAACTGCTAGTTCTAACTCTAGTGAACTTGCATCCTACCTGGACTGTGACACAGTAAACCAGTTGGATGATGAGTTTGGCATCATGCAGTGGTGGCATGAGCACAAGCTTACTTATTTAGAACTTTCTGTTCTTGCTAAAGACATTTTGACAGTGCCTGTATCAACCATTTCTTCAGAGTGTACTTTTAGCTTAACTGGTAGGATCATCGAGGAGCGGTGGCGGAGGCTGAACTCTGAACTGTAGAGGTGCTTACCTGCATCAAGGATTGGGAGAATGCTGAGACAAAACTGTAGCACATGGTGGAGGACAAGGAGCTAGAAGAGGCCTTTGCTGGTCTTTATTTTGATGTCGACTAGTTCACTTCCCATTTATGTAATGGTTCTGTAATAACTAAGACTTGGACTTATGGTGATGGATGTAATGAACAATTAATCTAGGAGCTGGCTGTACTCTTTTCCCGTTTAGGGTTTATCACAAGGGTGAGTTTTACCTAAACATGTTTTTAATGAGGCAGCTATTGCACAGCTCCTATTTAAATTAGTTTTAGTTTCAAAAGTTTGTGTTCTTTGCTGTGCTGTGTTCTGATCTGTTTTTGATCTTTTGTGAACTTAGTCATTTTAGATCTCTTTGAATCATTGTGCTGAGTTCATTGAGGGGTTTTGCCAGTTTAGTGTCTTGGTCGGCACGGGCACGCTGAGCCTGGAGTCGGCATGGCACGACACGACACGCTCCAGGAATGATAGTGCCGTGCCTGGGCCTGGAGTCGGGCACGGTGGCACGACATGGCACGGCGCGGTTCATCAGCCGTGCCTAGCGTGCCGTGCCTAGGCGTGCCGTGTCGGGGCGGGCTAGTGCCGTGTAGTGCCGTGCCGGCACGTTTGGAAAACTATAGTGAGGGGATGACGGCCCTCCTCAGCGGTTGGGTGTTCTGCATGGCGGAGAACACTGAGGATGCAGTGAATTTTTGTTTTTCGATTTTTTTTTGTGTAGCAAGCAGAACGGAAAAACACTGGGCATGTATAGAGCCATGTAGCAAGTCCCGAATCAATCTGAGAAATTCCATTGTTTATAGACAAATAAATAAATAAACCCCAACATTAGCCATTATCAAGTTGTAATAATGAATTATGCAAAACGAGAGCACATCTCATCTAATCTCAAAGTCTTATCTTATGTAGTTATTATGTAATCAAACAAACTCTGCCGCTGCTGCTGCCGCCGGTTTCCAGCTTGCCTCGTTCACGTTGGCCGGCTCCAGGATGGCCGCCTCCGCCTCCGCCTTAGACGCTCATGAAGGTGCCCACCGCCCCGTACTTGCGCCGGAAAAATCGTAGTGGGACGCGACGAACATGCGCCAGGACGTCTTCTCGTCCAGGTCCGACACCGACTACTACATGCGCCTGTTGGCCGTGGTTCTCCACCACGCAGCGCTCCAGCCCGCCCATCGCGGGCCTCCACGCCGTCGAACTCTCCTTCTCCTCTCAGGACCGCGTCGGCGGCGTAGCACACGCCCACATTCGTGAACATCTACGCGTAGATCGTGTCGCCCGGCGTGCGCCGCTGCCGCTGCTCGTGTCGCGCGGCCTGCCGACGTGCGTGCCGTCGGGTAGGATGTCGTCTGCGGCGCACCACTGCAGGTCAAGCGGCAATAGCGGTACAGCCGAGCGGCTCCCCGGGGTACGTGCCCGTGGACTCCCGCACCGTTCAGACCTCGGCGGCGACGCGCGCTGCCACAGCTGGCCACGATGACAGGAGTCAACACCGACGAAGTGCTGCCGTCTATAAGCTCCGCGCAGAGCGTGACCAGCTCATCGTTAGTGGGCGCACCGACGTTGGGGTTGAGCGCCTAGCTCTGCATGTCACGGAGGATGGCACGACGCCTGTTGATGAGCAGGAGCAGAGTGTGCATATTTTGCTCGAGCACCCAAATGGACACACCGTGCGCTTAGAAGATGAAGAGGGGTCAAGTCACAAAAAAAAGAGGAAGAGGGATAAGCTCGTTAAAGAAAAAGAAATAGAGGGAGGTTTTTGTAAAATATAAATATAAACGAAGAGGTATGAACCTCTGATGAACCATTTAAAAAGTTTTGGGACCTAAAAATACAGTTTAAGAGTTGATGGACCTAGGTGACACCCCTCAACCTCTTATGCATTTTACTATTTATTTTTAGAATTGGTCAATAATGTTGAACTTTTTTTCTTGGTTATGCTTGAGCAGGGTTAGCTACTGCATTTCATTTTAGTAATGGTGGACTGACTTTTTTTTTAAAGAGAATGAAGCCATGAGCTCTCCCATCACTACCCTAGATCTGGACATCACCACCGGTTCAAAAACCCACTTCACTACCGGATTTTGAATCGACAGTGGCATACCGACAGTGATGGGGGGTTGACATCACTGCCGGTCCTTAAAAACCGACACTGATCTACAGGAAACAGTGTCGGTTCCTGGCTCCACCCGGCAGTGTCCAGTTGAACAACACTGCCGGTTTGTAGTGCCAACCGACAGTGACGGTTGCTTCAAGAGTGTCGGTTCTTGGCTTAAGCCAACAGTGTTGAGCAAGCCTACACTGTCGGTTCAAGGATCAAACCGGCAGTGTTGTGGTAAATATCAGTGTTGGTTCATGGATCAAACCGGCAGTGTTGTCGTAACTATCAGTGTCGGTTCATGGTTCAAGCCGATAGTGTTGAGCAAGCCAGCACTGTCGGTTTGTTTCTAACCGGTAGTGATAGTTACGACAACACTGCCAGTTTGTTGCTAACCGGTGGTGATGGCCCGTTCGTATTTTATTGTTTTATAATTTATTTTAATTTATATTTTTTCGTGGAATTGGGTTTCGTTTTATTTACGCTACGTAGACGACAGGTCCATCAATATTAAACATTACAAATGTTACGATTACAATTCAAATATTCTTATCCACGTCTCGATCCCTCAAAATAAAAAAGAAATGTTCTTGGACTTCACACATGCTTCTCGGACTTCTTACAATAATCTGGCGAGCCGCTCTAGGCCATACTGGTCCTTGTACTTCACGGATTATGCAATAGAAAATACTCCATCTTTTTCCAATACCTCGGCTAAGATGAATTTTGCCAGCTCTGATTGTAGTGCGATGATCTCCATGTCTAATAGCCTTTCGTGGTTATATTTCTTGCGCTGTCGTTTAAAAAAGATGATATCCAAAGAGGAACAGTAAATCATTTTGTTGAATTATTAACAGACATAAATGAAATGGGGATTATACACACCAACTTATCGGCTTCTTCCGATTTCCCGTCAATGTAGCGAAGCATTGCCCACATTACATAAAACCCGCATTCATTGTTTTCCGCCGGCTGTGATAGGTACTTCCCCTCCATTTCGACAACCTTGAATGGGACCAGCGTCCCACCGATATGTCTTCTTCGGACACAGAGCAACATTAAAAGGAGAAACATTAGAAAGCGGTATGTGTGATTAGAAAATAATATGTTATTAGGATCGCTTACTAATTCAGCACTGCCACCAGTGCATCCAGATGATGAAATGGTTTTTTCTTCGAGTCCCACACCTCGAGCAGATTTTTGGCAAGATTAACACAAATGAAGACGAAATGGTGCTACAATCATATAATCCTAATTATCGAATAATCTTAACGAAAAAAGAAGCATAAAATTAAAAGTTGAGAATACATACTCGCAGTTGTAGGCTAGAAGTATGTGGGTTTTCTTCTTCATCGTGAATTCGTCGAAAACAGCAATCAATCTCTGTTTCAGGTCTTCCACATCACATCCATAGAGGCCTAGACATGTCCTCTCATTGACTCGCATGGGGTCCAAGAAGCCTATGTAATCCCATTTGCTTTTTAGAATGCAAAATTTTGCTATACACCTACATAAAATCATGGGAAGTGCTCAAAAGTTAACAATTTGTGTCTCGAGAGAGTAGTTAATTATAAAATCGTGCGTGTAGGTACTTACATAGTTCACAGCGTCAACATTTGAACATCGAGAGAGCGTTTCTGGTATAGCTGGAACAAGCACTCCCACTCGACATTGAACTTCTCTTCTTCAGGATAATGGAAAACATGTGGCGAACGGATAATAACCTCAAAAGCAAAGTCATCCATCTCTGTTGCTTGAACCATATAATATTCATGTAACTGGCGCATATATGTTGTCAGATTTTTATACTCATGATCGGGAACCAAAAGATTGCCCCTTTCATACTTCATTGCCGGTGTTGCCATCCCTTGTACATCATAATAGATGGCCGCGGCCTCTTCCATGGTTAATCCTAGGTTGTCTTCGACATACTTCTGTATGTTCCTTAAATCTTTATTGTGTATTTCTTCGTCTTTTGTTGTAGTGTATTTATTCTTTGTTTGCCTTTCAAATGTGGACTTCAACAAAAACGAAGGCAGTGAGGCACAGAGATTGAAGAAACTAACACAATATTCCTTCGAGATGTGTGCTGTAAATTTTCTTTCATCAAGGTGGTAACGCTGCCACTGAACAGCCTTTTTCTTTTCTGTTGGTCCACTTTGGGAGCATTAGCGACCGAATCCAAGGACCTTTTCTGCGACTGCAAGGATGTCCTTGATCTTGTTTTGGGCTGAGGTGGAGGAGGAGAATGACGACGAGAATTCTGTTTTCCCGACGCTGATGAAGATGGAGGAGGAGGAGGAGTCTCTTTTCTCAGGGCTGATGAAGATGGAGTCGGATGAGGAGGAATAGAAGGAGACCTCTGTCTTCTCGGGGGTGATGGCTCTGGATGAGGAGGGGAGTGATCTCTGTTGGGAGATGGTGAGTGATCATCGTGGGTGGGCGAAGACTCATAGTCGTCCTCATCATCAGAGGACAATTGATGGTCAAGCTTAATGAAGCACTTGCACCAGGCCACTTGAGAGCCCTTGTTTTGACCAAGTTTTGGCCTGTCTTCCGCTATGGGGTACTCAATGGGTATCTTGTTGTACTTCTTATCAAGTATTCGGTCAATGGTGACGCGAGCGTACCCCA